ATACTACTGGAGGAGCCAGTGTCCCAGGCTTATTCACCCCGTTGTATCTCTCCCCAGCAGCTTAGGACACAATGCTCAATTGATGACCTCATTTGGTGCTCAGCCAATCCCTGTTGAGCTCACTGGTCAGAGCTGGTCTGTGAGGCTAATCCCTTAGCAGTGACTCAGAGTTGATTAATTAAGTTAAATTTTAAAAATTAAATGTCTAAGCCATCCCAATATCACATTGTCATAAAACAGAAAAATTCAGTTGAACTGCTGCATAATGTCTTGGGACATTACTACACTCTGTCTTAGGAATCAGTAAAAAGAATACATCTTATCTCTTATTTATATAATGAGCTTTATCACTTTGATTTTCTAATACCTTTTCTAGAATCCCTTCAATTACCTTTGTCTAAGTGCCTATCATAAAATTTTAAAGTACCTCCTACTTATTAAAACCTCATTTTACATTACTACCACCAGATAAACATCATTTAAACACATAATTCAAACATCATCATTTAAATAAATAATTCATATGTACAGTTTTAAAAATTAGTTTCCTAAATAGGAATATCTTTTATTTCTATTGTCTCTTACATATTCTCATTATTCCTTCTCTGAAATTCTTTTCTGTGACTATTTTTCATTCATTGTTTTTCCATTCACTCCTTTCAGATTATCCATGAATCCTTTCCTCCTGTTTCAGTCATGATCTTGCCTTCTTCAAAAAAAAGCTCACAATATACAACTTGTGACACATAGAAATGAGAAATACTCTTAAATAGTATTGAAATTCACAATTCCAGGTCAATTTTCATTAGTCCCTTTACTAAGAAAGTTGTTTCTAGTCTAGCCTGTTAAGCTTTGCTGAGATCTCAGCTAGGCAAGTCAGTTACTAAATCTAATTTTTCTTAAAACAATATCTTGCCTAGCTGGTGTGGCTCAGTGGTTGAGTGCTGACCTATAAACCAAGATGTCACGGCTCTATTCCCAGTCTGGGCACATGTCCGAGTTGCGGTCTTGATCCCTAGTGGGGGCTGTGCAAGAGGCAGCTGATAATGATTCTCTCTCATCATTAATGTTTCTATCTATCTCTCCCTCTCCCTTCCTCTCTGAAATCAATAAAAATATATTTTTAAAAAACAATATCTTATTAACTCTGAGGGGCTTCATATTAAAAATCTTGAAGTTGATAATGATACTGAACTTTAAGAAGTTTAAGAAATTTATATTTTTCAGTATTGTTATTTTCTTTGTCTTATCTTCCCCACCAAATTATATGGACACATTATGATAACTTTATATCCTTAAAGTGTCTAACAGTATTATCCACACAGAGTAGGTGCTGAAGAAATGTTGTGGGGGTTTTTTTTAATTAACCCTGCCTGTTTTGGGTAAGCTCTTTATATATATTATGCTTCACAGAATGCTGTCCCTCTTCTCTCATTTATCCCCTTACTTTGTTCTCTCTATGATTTCCATATTCTCCCCCTTCTCTTTCTTCTTTAAACACTCTCTGCCACCCCTTTGTCTTTACCTTCCAGCTCTAAGTGGGATATGAGGTCTTATGCAGCACCCTCATCCTAGTGTATGCTAGGCTCTGTGTTGGGTGCTGGGGAAATGAAGACTAAATACTCACAATCTAGTAGGGGACAGAGTATAGTCTGAGATGAACAGACTAGTATAGTAAGGAACAGATATTGTCATAGGTGAACAATAAGTGTGATAAATCTTATAGTTGAGACATAAACAAAGTGATGTGATAAAAAGGAAGGTGAAGTAAACCATCTCTGGCTGAGGTGGGCTGAGGGCAACTTCTGAGCAGCAAAGATGGATATGACTTCCAAGACTAGGAAAGAAGGGAACAGAATACAAGGTAGAGTAAAATCCTATATAATAAAAGCCTAGGTGGCATCTGACCCTCGCAAAGCCCT